TCCTTGTTGTTCTCCTTCTTCCCTACCTCCCTCCCTCCCTCTTCCTCCCTCCCTCCCTCCTCCCTTCCTGCTCCCTCCCCCCTCCCGTCTCTCTCCTTTCTCCCTCTTCCTTCCTCCTTCTTCCCTCCTCCCTCCTTGTTACGAATTATGATTACCATTCCCATTCGAAGCGTCTGTCGGTGCCAGACACTCATACTAACAAAATTGATCGTCCGTGTAGCCGCTGCAAGCTTGTAAGAAAAGCATGCGCGCGGCACTGCGGCGATAGAGCCATTTTGAAAACGACCTGCCCTCCATCCAACTAACAGTTACTATGTTTAGAACGAATGTGACAGCTGCCAGTGCTTAAGCAAAGGCGCGCGGCGCCAAGGCGACAGTTCATTTCGAAAGCGACCCGCCGTGTCCGCTGTAACCGTTGGAACGTTCAGGATCACTGATCGCCAGTCAGCATCAGGTGAAACGCTTGGTTTGTCCTTACGGACTCGTCTGGTGGTCCGACAAGAAGAATCATTCACTATAAGAAGCAAGGAGGGTAAGGAGGTTGGAGGAGGGTACTCAGGAGGAAAAAGGAGGGGGGAGGAGGGAGGTACAGGGAATGGGAGAGGAACAAGGATGATGATGAGGAGGAGGAGGATTATGATGATAAGGATGATGATGAGGATGATGAGGATGATGAGGATGATGATAATGAGGATGAGGATGAGGATGAGCATGAGCATGATTATGATGATGCTGATGCTGTTGATGATGATGATGATGACGATGATGATGATGATGATGATGATGATGATGATGATGATGATGATGATGATGATGCTGCTGCTGCTGCTGATGATGTTGATGTTGATGATGATGACGAGGAGGATAGGAGGAGGCTCGATTCTGCTGTCTTGGATCGATTCCAGCACGGTGCCGTTGCCCTGTAGCGAGGCACTATTTCTCAAATCTGCCTGTGCTCGCACTGTCGCTTTCAGGAGCGCAGGTCTACACTCTAGGCGATGCTTAAGAAAAGCAAAGGTTTCGGCCAGAGTCTCGATTATTCTTAATGTTTCAATGTAAATCCTAAGATTTGAATCGACATTCTGGGTTTTTATTCCAATTATGAGACTATGAATTTCTGAACCCATGATTTCTTGAGCATTTCGCAGGGTGTAGGGCCTTGTAGAGACCAGTATGTAGAGCTCCCATGGTCACTTGAAACAGGAACTGGAGGAAAAGCGAACTCGGCAAGCATCGTGGCAATCTGGACGCTTCAATCGATCTAGACCTGCGCAAGCCTCTTTTTCGGTAGTTGCTGTTTCGCTAAGGGCAGGGCGTCTCGTCTGACCCGGGCTGTTTCTTGCTGATGCTGCCGTCGATGGCAAAAGAACACAAGGAGGAGGAGGAGGAGGAGGAGGAGGAGGAGGAGCAGCAGCAGGACTGGGCGGGGCTGAGAGGGGGGGGGGGAGGAGGAGGAGGAGGAGGAGGAGGAGGAGGAGGAGGAGGAGGAGGAGAGGAGAGGAGGGAGGAGGAGGAGATGGAGAGGAGAGGGAGGGGGAGGAAGGAGGGAGAGGAGAGGAGGAGGAAGAGGCGGAGGAGGAGGAGGAGAAAGTGGAGGAGGAGGAGCAGGAGGAGGAGGAGGAGGAGAAAGAGGAGGAGGAGGAGCAGGAGGAGGAGGGAGCAGGAGGAGCATGCCAAGGACGGGGACGGGTGATCGGCGGGCAGAGGCGGAGAAGCAGAAGGAGGGCATGAGGGGGAGCAGGCTGGCAGTGGCGACCACTGGGGTGGTGGCACGTCATGTGGTGGTGATCCTCCCCCGTGCAGTCGGCCCGCAGAGTAAGGATAGGCATCCCTCCCAAGGGTACCCTTGCATCCTTGCTTCCTGGGTCCATCCTTGGCCGCCTTCGTCGGCCGCGCCCCGCTCGAAACGCTTCGAGATGGGCGTCCAAGGGCCTTGCATCCTTATCGCGCATCTTTCGCTGGCCAGCCCCTTGGGGTACCCTTGGGGCGCGTGAGGGTACCCTTGCATCCTTCGGCACTCGGCGGCGCTGTGCTCGAAAAGCGTCAGCATGGCTCTCCAAGGCCCTTGCATCCTTATCGTGCATCCTTACCCTGCGGGTTGACTGTACACCCGAGGGGCCCGCGCCTGAAGGCCAGCGCCTGTCGCACACCGCTTGCCCCCACGGCGGCCTCTGCTACCCTCCGGGAGGCTGCGCCTGCGCTCGCCCACCAGCCTCCTCCTCCTCCTCCTCCTCCTCTTCCTCCTCCTCCTCCTCCTCCTCCTCCTCCTCGTCCCCTCCTCCTCCTCCTCCTCCTCCTCCTCCTCCTCCTCCTCCTCCTCCTGCCCTTTCTCGCTCGGAGGCCTCCAGGCATGCGACGCCTCGCCGTTTCAGTGCGGCCCCCCTCGGAGGTCTGTGAGCCCCTTTCCGGTCTTCCCCTCCCTCCCTCCCTCCCTCCCTCCCTCCTCCCTCCTCCCTCCTCGATTTATCGATTTCTCAAGCTACTTTTGGTACGTTCGGGAGGTGCTTTGGGAGGTACTTTGAATGTTCGGGTGGTACTTCTACTCCTACTCGGAAGCCTACTTTGGGAGGTACTTTGAATGTTCGGGGGGTGCTTCTACTCCTGCTCCGAAGCCTACTTTGAGAGGTGCTTTTGGATGTTCGGGGGGGTACTTCTGCTCCTACACTCCGAAACCTACTTTGGGAGGCACTCTGGATGTTCGGGGGGGGGGTACTTCTGCTCCTACTCCGAAAGCCCACTCTGGGAGGTACCTCTTGGCCCTCCTGGAGGCCCTGTGGCTCTACTGGCGGGAGCTGCCTTGCACAATGCCCGGAAGTCTGCGAGCACCCCTTGCCCTGGGCAGGCAGGTCTTCCGGCCTGGGCCGGCGCCCGTCCGCCCCGGGGGGCCCGGCGAGGGCGCCTCCTGAGGCCGACAGGGGGCGAACAGAACTCCCGCCGCGATTTTTTTACCCAACAGCGCAGATTGATAGGCTCCGAAGGATTGCAAAAAATCCTTGTTTTTTTTGCAATCCTTGGGTTTTTTTGCAACCCTTCGTTTCGAAGGGTTTTTTTTTTGCAATCCTTGGGTTTTTTCGCAATCCTGGGCTCGAAAGATGGCCACTTGACTCCCCAGGGGGGTCTGGGCGGGTGCCGGGAGAATCCGGGGAATCCCCCCCAGGACTCTTCTAGATTCCTACAGTTTCCTATGGATTCCTATTCTTCGTGTTCCCAGAACACCCATTCCCAGGCCACATGTTGGATGCCCGGAGCCAGCCGTAGGCCACTTCGTGTTCTTCGTCTTCCCAGAACACCATTCCCAGGCCACATTTTGAATGCCCGGAGCCAACTGTAGGCCACTTCGTGTTCTTCGTGCTCCCAGAACACCATTCCCAGGCCACATTCTGAATGCCCGGAACCAACTGTAGGCCACTTCGTGTTCTTCATGTTCCCAGAACACAATTCCTGTACCATATTCTGAATGCCACTTCGTGATCTTCGTGTTCCCAGAACACCAGTCCTGTGCCATATTTTGAATGCCCGAGCTGAGGCAGGCTTAGGCCGAGGCAGGCTGAGGCCGAGGCAGGCTGAGGCTGGGGCTGAGGCACGCCGAGGCAGGCTGAGGCTGAGGCTGAGGCAGGCTGAGGCTGAGCTGAGGCTGAGGCTGAGCAGGCTGAGGCCGAGGCCGCTGAGGCTGAGCGAGGCAGACTGAGCTGAGCAGGCGAGACTGAGCTGAGGCAGGCTGAGGCTGAGGCTGAGGCAGGCTGAGGCTGAGAGGCTGAGGCTGAGGCTGAGTGCTTAGGCTGAGGCTGAGGCCGAGGCATGCTGAGGCTGAGGCTGAGGCTGAGGCTAGGCTGAAGCTGAGGCAGGCTGAGGCTGAGGCTGAGGCTGAGGCTGAGGCTGAGGCAAGCTGCGCTGAGGCAGGCTGAGGCTGAGGCTGAGCTGCTGAGCAGGCTGAGGCTGAGGCAGGCTGAGGCTGAGGCTGAGGCCGAGGCAGGCTGAGGCTGAGGCCGAGGCCGAGGCAAGCCGAGGCAGGCTGAGGCTGAGGCTGATGCTGATGCTGAGGCAGGCTGAGGCTGAGACAGGCTGAGGCTGAGGCAGGCTGAGGCTGATGCAGGCTGAGGCTGAGGCCGAGGCAGGCTCAGGCCGAGACAGGCTGAGGCAGAGACTGAGGCTGAGGATGAGGCCGAGGCAGGCCGAAGCTGAGACAAGGTGTGGCTGAATGGGGGGGGGAAGGGGGGGGAGTGGGGGGGAGGAGAGGAGGCCGAGACAGGCTGAGGCCGAGGCAGGCTGAGGCCGAGGCAGGCTGAGGCTGAGGCTGAGGCTGAGGCAAGCCGAGGCAAGCTGAGGCTGATGCAGGCTGAGGCTGAGGCAGGCTGAGGCTAAGGCAGGCTGAGGCTGAGGCTGACGCAGGCTGAGGCCGAGGCAGACTGAGGCTGAGGCTGTGGCAGGCTGAGACTGAGGCCCAGGCAGGCTGAGGCTGAGGCTGAGGCAAGCCGAGGCAGGCTGAGGCTGAGGCTGAAACTGAGGCAGGCTGAGGCATCCGTAGGAATCCATAGGAATCCTTAGGAATCCCCAGGAATCCTTAGGAATCCGTAGGCATCCTTAGGAATCCGTAGGCATATTTAAGCATCCTCAGGAATCCTTAGGAATCCTTAAGATTCCCTAGGAATCCTTAGGAATCCCTAGGAATCCCTAGGAATCAGGATTCCCAAGGATTCTTATGGTTTCCTAAGGATTCCTATGGATTCCTAAGGATGCCTAAGGATGCCTTAGGAATCCCTAGGAATCCTTAGGATTCCATTGGATCCTAATGCCGTTGCCACTGCGACTGTCATTGCGAATGCGACTGCGACTGCGAGAACAGCAGAATTCTACAACTGGATTATCACCTGAATATTAAGGGGAATGCTTCCAGATATGCTTATACACATCGCTGTTAGGTTGCTTTGCCGGGATAATTTTTTTGTGTGCGGTTGATGACGCCAGCGCGTGTGGAACCGCCCCTGCCCCCCCGGCCGAAGGAGCAGCCCTTCTGGTGGCGGGGGCGTGCCGAGTCCTTGTGCTTCGACCTGGCGCTGACACCGGAGAAGGCGCCTCTGCCCCGACGGCGCAGGGGCAGTGCGTGGCGCCGCCGTCGGCGCGATCGTTCGGGATTTTGGACGAAACATAAAAGATACCCCAAACATGCCCCAAAAAGGTCAAACAATAGTCAAAAACCAGTCCCCGGACTAGTTTTGGTTTTTTTGGGTTATTTTTGGGGTATTTTTTCGTTTCCGTCGAAAATCCCCCTGTAGGGGGACAGGCCCGACTTCACGTTAGCTGGGGATAGGCTCAGGGGGGGGGGAGGCAGCGACCCCCAATCGCCCATGCATCGCTGGATGGGGGCCCGGTCGCCCCCTCCGCCCGGGCGCCCAGGGCCGTGCGGATTTTTGCGATCGGGGGCCCGTCGCTGCTCTATCGGCGAGGCATCGGCGACTTCAGCTCGAGGCTCCCCCCTGAGCTGGTCACCCTCTAAGGCTGACCCTCACTTCTGGGGGTCCCTCTTTGGGCCGATGGGGCCCGCGGGAGACAACAACCCCCCCGGCGCGAAGCTCGTGCGGAGAATGGGGTCGAGGGTCTCCCGTGGACTTCCTGGGGGGGGGGGAGATCCTTCACGAGTGAACGGGGTTCGCGCGGCTGTCAGCGACTGGGGCCGACGTCGTCCAGACTGCAGCTTGCCGTACTGCGCCCACGCACGTGGCTCATTCCAGCATCGAGCGGAGCAGCGATGTCGGCGTTAAGAGCCGTCAAGAATTGATTGTTGATCGGCGTGCTAAGTCGTGTGCTCCACATGAGGTGTAGCCTTGCCTTGCAAAGGCACAGTCCTTGACGCCTCATGCCCGATGCGAGCAGGCATTATGGAATGCGGAACTTGCTGCGCGAAAAGCGGTGCCAGACGGAGGCCGTGGGGTCGGCGAAACCAAGGGAGCATCAACATTGGATGTAACGGTGCCAGCTATCTGAAAGCGATCCATGGCCCTCCGCATGTGCATCCACTCGTGTATCGCCACTCGAACATCATCATGATGATGGATGTCATGGCGCGCTGGTGTGTCGCACTGATATCATGACACGCTGGTGCGCCAAGGAAATGCACCATGGGGTCAAAATCCAGCACCGGCCCATTGAAGGATGACCCTCCACATCTCTACCCAGTCGTGTACCATCGCACGATTTTCATCATGATGATGGAGTGTAATGACACGCTAGTGTGGCAAACCAATGTCGTGATACTTTGTGGCGCCGAGATCATACACCACGTGGTATTACTTCGTAACCGATCCGTGAGACAGGGTGACAGTGTAACACTGTTCGGCCTCCTCACGGGCGCTCTGGACGGGAAGCCGTTCCGAGCCAATTTTGCGCACATTTCCGCTTCAGTGCCACAGCGACAAAGTATTGCGTTTCGTGGGTCGAAAAGCATGTCGCTTGAGCTGCAAACACCGCTGTCCCACATCGGACTTTCAAACAACGCGTGTGACTTCTCAAAAACAGCATGATGTTATATGATGTTTGATGTTGCCGATGCTCACCTGTCGGCATCACCATACTCGTTGCGTGATCGTTGGATGCCACCGCTCCCTTCCATAGCGCGCGGACATGTACCCTTTCCGTACCACGAAACGCCGTGTTTTCCTACGCTCACAAGGAAGACCACCCAAGATAATTGCATCCATCGAGATCTTCCTGTTTCTTCTCCAATCCTCGTCAAGTTCGGAACAGGTCGCGCACGCGTGGGCCAGGTGCGAGGAGGAAGAGGAGGAAGAGGACGAGGAGGAGAAGGAGGAGGAGGAGGACCAACAACAACATCAGTCATTTTAAGACTGTTCGCTCTTATCTGTTTGAGTGTTCGTCAACGCGTACTTCCCAAACCCTCGATACCCGCCCTCTTCGTCTTCGATCCTACCCCTTTTGGGGGGTATACCGTATACCTTTCTTCCCTGCAGGTCGGGCCCCAGCAAGCGGCGGGGCAGCCGCGGACCGTCGGCCTGGCCAGCGGCAGCGCTGATCGGCGGCAACCCGACCCCAAGAGGGACGGACAGGGGACCGACCACGACAACGACGACGACGACGACGACGACCAGCGAAAGCGAGAGCGAAAGCGAGAGCGAAAGAGAGAACGGCAGCAGGGCCACGAAGGGCACGAAGTAGGCCACGAAGGGCGACAGCGGGGACACGAAGGGAATGCGCATGGGGCCACGAAGAGCGCGAACGAGCGAGGGCCACGAAGGGCAAATACTGCGGGGCCACAGGAGGCAACGACGCGGCCACTGGGGGTGGCAATTGGGCCACGTAGGACAACGAGGGGGCCGCAAAGGGCGACAGCGGGGCCACGAAGGGCATGCACATGGGGCCGCGACGGGCGTGAACGAGCGAGGGCCACGAAGGGCATGCGCATATTGGGCCGCGGAGGGCAAGGGCGGGGCCACTGAGGGCAGCAATGGGGCCACGAAGGGCAGCGATGGGGGCCGCGAAGGGCGACAGCGGGGCCACGAAGCGAGCGCGCGCGGGGCCACGACGGGCGCGAACGAGCGGGGGCCACGAAGGGCCTGCGTATATGGGGCCACGAAGGGCAGCGAGGGGGCCACGAAGGGCTGCGACGGGGCCACGAAGGGCAGCGAGGGGGCCGCGAAGGGCTGCAACGGCGCCACGAAGGCAGCGAGATCCTGATTCATAAACAAGCTGTGAGGAGACGTGCCCGACCCCTGCTCCACTCGAGGCGATTATTTGTATGAGCGCTCCATACAAAAGAACACATCGCGCCTCACTTCCGCCGTGCCTCCCAGGAGCCCACGTCAGTGGCGACGGTTGCGCAGTTCGCAGCCACCCAGGGAGCCGCGATGTCTCGTCTGGGTCCGCGTAGAATTCCATTCCGCTGGACCCCCAGGAGCCCACGAAAGTGGCGACAATTGCGCAGTTCGCAGCCACCAAGGGAGCCGCGAGGTCTCGTCTGGGTCCGCGTGCAGAGCCCACGAAAGTGGCGACGGTTGCGCAGTTCGCAGCCATCCAGGGAGCCGCGAGATCCCGTCTGGGTCCGCGTATAACTCCACTTCGCTGGACCGCCCAGTAGCCCACGATAGTGGCGACAATTGCGCAGTTCGGAAACATCGGAGGGCGCTACGAGGTCCCGTCTGGGTCCGTGTGAAACTTCAACCCGCTGGACCTCACAGGAGCCAGCGAAAGTGGCAACACTTGCGCAGTTCGCAGCCACCTGGGGAGCCGCGAGATCTTGTCTGGGTCCGCGTACACATCCAGTCCGATTGACCTCCCAGGAGGTCACGAAAGTGGCGACGGTTGCGCAGTTCGCAGCCCCCCAGTAGGAAAGGCACGAGCAAGGAAGGCAAGGAGGCAGGTGGCAGGAGGAGGGGGGTAAAGAGTGGGCAGGATGTTGCGCGAGCAGTGCTCTGTTCTAAACGAGAACCCAACACAGGAGGGTTGGGAATAAGTTGTGAGGAAGTTTCAGCCGAAACGGCTTCCAAACCAGGCGTTCCACGTCCCGCCACCCTTGTTGGACTCTCTTTTTTATACCATATAAGAAGCCTGGAAAGCAGCGGTGCGCAAGTGTGCTGTCTAGCGCACGCTCGTGCAATTTTTCAAATACCTGCGGGCACACGGCTCCATGCATTCAGAACCCTCTAGCGAAACGCTTTTCGGAGAGAAGCTGCAGGAGCACGAGTCGTCGGAGGACCGCGCGGATTCCCAGGACCTGCGCCGGACCCCTCCTCCCCAGTGCGCGGAGCGCCCCCGAAAATCTACGCCTGCGCCGTCGGCTGTCCCACGACACGCGCGGATGGATTCGCCTGCGGAGGAGGAGGAGGAGGACGAGGAGGAGGAGGAGGAGGAGGAGGACGGGGAGGGGGAGGGGGAGGAGGAGGAGGAGGAGGAGGAGGAGGAGGAGGAGGAGGAGGAGGAGGAGGAGGAGGAGGAGGAACCTCTTTGGGTCCAGGGCGCGTGGAGTTCGCATTGTGACCGCACGTCTTTCCCGCGCTTGGCCCTCGTATGACCAGGCACGGTGATCCTCCGCGCACGGGTTTCGAAGAAGGCGAACCCTACCCCCACGATTTCTGAGGGGGAGGGCGGGGTTCACTTCGTTCGGGAGCTCGCGATCGAAGTGAACCCCACCCTCCCCTCAGAAGTCGTGGGGGGCAGGGGTAGGGTTCGCATGTGGCCCCCTGTCCACGTGCGGGTTTCGAAGAAGGCGAACGGGCATACACTTGAACATCAGTGTTTTTTGTGTCCGGAGGTCCGAGCAGAGTTCTTGCACCGGGCCCAGAGCCGATCCGAGAGGTCCGCGCGGACCTCCGAGCGTTTCTTCTGCAGGCCTTACTGCTGCTGCCGCCGATCCGGGGACGACGGCGACGAAACACATTCCAAAGCGTGAGGGAATTCATCGATCTTGCCTCCCCAGGATTCTCTCGGGAGCGCTCATGGGGCGGTTTTCTGTTCCTCGGGTGTCCAGGAAGTGATTAGGAAGTGGCCTTCGCACGTTCCGCAGGTGAATCCGTCTATGCGTGTGTGTTCCCGCCTCCCAGCAGTGAGAGTTGCCGTGGCTTTCTCATGACGACGTACCTGGGCCCTATTATTAAGTCGGGCGTGTCCCCCTACAGGGGGATTTTCGACGAACAACAAAAAAGTACCCCCAAAATAGTCCAAACATACTCGAAAAATAGTCCGGTGATTATTTTTTGGGTATTGCTTGACCTTCTTGGAATATTTTGGGGGTATTTTTATTTTTCGTCGAAAATCCTCATGTATACGGGGACACGCCCGACCTAACCCTATTACGGTCGGGGATGTGTGGTTAGCGCGTCGCTCCACCGGCTCGGGCCCACCACGCCTCGGCGCGACGCGCTGCCCACCTCGCGGTCCCCGGATGTCCACGTGCCGAGCTCTTCCCGACCTCCCGCCCCCCCGGAGCGGAGCGACGCGTGATCCACTTGCAAGGTCTGGCGTGTCCTCCGGGCCGCCGCCGCGACACGCTGAACCGAAGCTCCTGGCCGTAGCCACGTGCAGCCGCTGATGCTGCTGAGTGCTTCCTCTCCACTTGCTGTGTGCTGGCCGTGGACTCTGCTGCGTTCCTCTCAGGAGTTGACGACCGGTGCGCCTCCGATGTACCAATGGTGCGCAGATGTGCCCTTGCTCTTGTTGTTTGCATCCTGTTCATGTTATCGGAATATCGCACCCCCCATGGTTTCTTAATTTGGATTCCTCCCTCTCGCTTTCTCTGTCTATCTCGCTCGCTCTGTTTTTGTTATTGTTTTTCTTTCTCTCTCTCTCTCTCTGTTTCACTCTGTCTATTCCTGTCTGTCCCTGTTTCTGCGTGTATACATTCCCTTCTCCATATCGAGCTCTGAGCCTGTCTCATGTTCTCTTTCACGTCCTCTTTGTTTCTTTATTCCTTTCTCTCTCCCTCTCTCTGTGTCTCTCCCCAGCCTGGATCAACTTGGTATATCTTGCGCCATCTTACTGGCAATCTGGGGCATGGGGCCATCTCGGAGCCATCTAGATCCAGGGCCATCTTGTACGTTCTCATCTCCCGCGACCCTCCCGTCCAGGCCCCCTGGGAAGAGGTTGGGTGAATGCGTGCCCCTTTCCATGAGGGAAGAGCAGAGGCTGCTTAAGGTGTAGCTGAAATCCACGCCACCTCTGGTGGGAGTTGCATGCTCGAAGATCTAACGGGGTTGTATTTTGAAGGTATGTGGGATGACGTGGTTCATTGTCCGATCTATTGAGAGTTCCGTGTCCTTGCGTGAATGATGCATTATCATGGGGTCCACATGTGCGCTAGTCTCATGACGGTGTGGCTATTGGATGGGCGGGGGGGGCGCGATATCGACGCAATATCTTCCCCATCTGATTCACAAGGCCGCGATGGTCGTCGAACGTCTCACGTAGCCACTTTGTTCTCGAATGCCGAGCGTCCTCTCAGCGCGCGTGTATGCGCAGAGACGCGTAAAAGCCTGATGATCACGCGCTTGCTTCTCTGTATGTGGATGCCACCCCCTACGTAGACGTTATATTTGTGCAGCTGCACTAGTCTCTGGGCGAGGGGAGAAGAGGATGCTTGTCAGAGGTAATTGAGGGGCCAAAACGTACCCTGGAGCTCTGGACCCCTTCCCCAGGGTGGTTTTGAATGTGTCGGCGTTTCCGCTACGGCCAGGCAGCCCAGAAACGGCCTCAGGATGCCGACATTGGCGAAGAACCTCAGACGCTGTTCTGTTGCAGCTGCTAGGGGGGCAGCCAGGTGGGATGTCGAGAAGTTGTCCGAGTCCGACAACTTCGTGGGGGTATGCAAGCCCGCCGGCATGTTCGTGGTGACCGACCACCGCGGCCTCTGGGAG